CCCAAATATCTGTAGAGCCTTGTTACCTCCCTTTCTTTAGGTCTCTGTTCTCACACTCTGCTTTATTTCTCTCCATTATACTTACCACCACCTGACATATTCTATTTGTTTTATTGCCTGTTTGTCCTCCTAGACTAGAAGGATCTCAAGGGGAGGGGCCTTCTCTTATTCACTGTTGTATCTCCAGTAACAAAATAGTGCCTGCCATAAATATGAATGAAAAATAAATTTGTGTTTGAATGAAATGGTACCTTCTCTTCAGGAAAAAGAATTGCAATCTGTTAAATGAAGGAGAAATGAATATATGAGGACTATATCAATATTTACAAATTAAAGAAGTATTTACTTCTTTTTAATGGTATTTAATGGTGATATGGGAAGCAATACCAAAAAATGACGTAAGAGTTCACAAGACTATGAAATCCAGACAACATGATAAAAAATGTATTATGGAAAAGGCAGCATGTGGACTGGACCTCAAAGGGGTGGGTAGATTTTTAAGTGTATAATTCTACTTTTTTTTAGTTTATTCAAAGAGTTGTGCAACCATCACCTTCTAGAACAGTTTCATCACCTCAAAAAGAAACCCTATGACCCTTAGCTACCACCTCCCAACTAACCCAGTTAGCCCTAAGAAGCCACTAATCTACTTTCTGTCTCTACATATTTGCCTATTCTAGACATTTCATAGAAATGTAATCAAATCATTTGTGAAATTCTGAGACTGGCTTCTTCACATAGCATAATGTTTTTAAGGTTAATCCATGTTGTATCAGTACTTCATTTCTTTTTATGATTGACTATTACTCCATTGTATGGATATAACATATTTTAACCATTCATCAGTAGATGGCCATTCGGATTGTTTCTACCCTTTGACTATTATGAATAACAGTAAATTATTAAAATAATAGTCCTATTTACATTCATATATAAGTTTTTGTGTGGTATAATTTGAATAAGAGATAAGGAAGGGATGGAAATGAAATTTTTTTCTTAAGTAGGCTCCACCCCCAAAGTGGGGCTTGAACTCACAACCTTGAGATCAAGAGTGGCACGCTCTACCAACTGAGCCGGAACTGAAACATTTTGAATCACTCAATCCCAAATATGACAAATTCAAGATATTTTCACTGATGAGGCAAAGTGAATTTTCATAAAGCTTAATTTATTCAAGTCAAAGGACTGTCCTTTACTCTCCAAAAATGTCCTTCGAATTTTCTTTTTTTAAATGTTAAAGCATCCTTTTTAAATGAAATGATGGCAGTGTTGAAAGGTAATTTTGGGGGGTGCCTGGGTGGCTCAGTTAGTTGTGTGTCTGACTCTTGATCTCAACTGAGGTCTTGATCTCAGGGTTGTGAGTTCAAGCCCTGCACTGGGCTTCATGCTGGGCATGGAGCCTACTTAAAAAAACAAAAACAAAAAACAAAAAAAGGTAGTTTTGTTAATTTACTAAGGTAAAATAAACTTCGTTAAATCCAATCCAAAAATCTAGGAAATTCTGTTGACTAAAGAAAATGGCATGAAGGTAAGAAGGTAGAAACCCACCAGATAGCCTGAATGCCAACTAAGGAGACTGCACATTATCCTATGGTCAATAAGGAAATGAATAGTTTTTTAAGTATGAAATAACTGACTTCTGGATGTCATCTCATTCAATGAACAGCAACTGAGCTACAACTATATAAAAAGCATGGAATTCAGTGCTGTAAAAAGAGACTAAATAAAACACTGTCCCTACCTTTTTATAACTTATTCTTTAGTAAAAGAAAAAAGTCTCTCTATTCATTATTTACATCTTTACCCATCTTTCAGAGAGGGCAATACTTAGTAGTTAAAAATAATCTTTTAAAAAGGAAAATATGGGATTACTCCTACTGTCCTTACAAGCTTTATTTCACTCATTTGACAATGTGAGTTTCTGGGTATATAAAGATAACATATAACCCCTATCCTACAGAAGCTTATAGTCTAGATTTTATAAACTTACCAAATGCTCTGAGAAGAAACTGACTGCAAACATGTAACTAGATATTATTCACCTAGGGCTTTCAATTTAGTAGCAAATAAAAAAAAAAAAAAAACACTTACCAGTCACATTTTAAGCATTTTACATTTGTTACCTAACCTAATCCTCTTTAACAGTTTTATGAAAAAATTACTATATTATTTTAAGATATTTATTAATACATTAAAATATATTACATTTATCTTTTCCCAGAATCTACGTTAATGACATCAATTCTGCTAACTGAGTGCTTTCATATATGGTTGTTATATCATTCCCATCAGCACACAAACATTCTGTAATTTTGCCAATCTTCAAAAAAAAAAAAAAAATCCTCTCTTGAGTTCACATTCCAATCCAGGCCCCTCATCATTTTTCTGATCCCCTTCTATCAAAATTCCCTAAAAGAGCTATCTGTAGAAGTTGTCCCCCAAATTCTCTCCTCTCAGCCTCTTCGCCATTCCAGAAAGGCTCTGCCTCTGACACTACCAAAACCACTCTAGTCAAGACTATAAATGACCTCAAAATCCTAAATAAGATTCTTAATTTTTAGTCCTCATCTCGCTTGACCTATCGGCAACACCTGACATAGGTAAAGCAAGCTCTTGGAAATACTTTCTTTACTTGGCCTCTAAGACACCATACTCTTCTGGGTTTTCTTCTCATATTACTAGATACTCCTTCTCAGTCTCCTGTGCTAATTCTTCCACAGCTCCACAATTTCTACACATTAGAGTATCCTAGGCTCTGTCCTTGGACCTGGTCTGTTTTCTCTCTACACTCACTTCCTTATGTTCTCACAAAGTCTCATGACTCCACTAAAATTTAACAGGATAGGGATTTTTTTAGCTATTTTTGCTAATGCTGAATGCCCTGAACCTAAAACAATGCCTGGCATGTAGTAGATGCATGACAAATATTTGTTCAATGAAAGGATGAATGAATAAACGGCTTTAAATACTATCTACAAACTGATGACTCTCCAATTTATACCTCCTATCTGGAACTCTCTCCTGAACTCCTGATATATCCGTCAAACAGCCATCTCTACTTGGATGTATAATAAACATTTCAAACTTAATGAGTCCAAAAGAGAATTCCAATCACCCTCCTAATGGCTTCTGCAAATGACTTCACTTTCTTTGCCATGTGCAGCTTTAGCCTAGTTCCCCAAACCAGCAATTCTGAAATAATTCCTAATTCCTTCTCTTTCTCTAATACACATATACAATCTGCCAAGAGAGACCACATGAGAGGGGGGAGGGTCAGAGGGAGAAGCAGACTCCCTGCTGAGCAGGAAGCCCGATGATGATGCGGGACTGGATCCCAGGACTCCAGGATCATGACCTGAGCCGAAGGCAGTCATTTAACCAACTGAGCCACCCAGGAACCCAACACTATGGATTCTTCCTTCAAAATATACTCAGTATTTGACTATTTCTCACTACAACCACCACTATCAATGTGGTACAAGCCACTACCATCTCTCACCTGGAAGAATGCAACAGCCTCCTGTTTCTTGTCCACCTTCTCCTCCCAATCCAGAACTGTGATCAGAGATTACACCACTCCTCTGCTTATAATCCTGCAATCATTCCATCTTTGCTCTGAATAAAAGCTCAAATCTTGACAACTGCCTTATATATATCTCTTTTCAGTCTGGCCCTTTTGTATCTCTGACCTCACCTACTACCACCACTATTTTGCTCCTTTTATATTGCTTCTTTTGCTGTTTCTTCCAAAGGTTAAACACATTTCCACTTCCCTGCCTTTTCCCTCACTGTTCCCCCAGCCTGAAATGCCTTTCCCCTAAGTATCCACAATCCATTACCTGTTTCATCGGTTTGTTCAACTGCTACCTTCTCTGAGTTTTCCCCAATCACCATATTTAAAACTGCAAGGAGGGGCACCTAGGTGGCTCAGTCTGTTGAGCTGCATTCAGCTCAGGTCATGATCTTGGGGTCCTGGTATGGAGCCCCAAGTTGGGCTCCCTGCTCAGTGGGGAGTCTGCTTCTCTCTCTGCTCCTGCCCCAGGCTCCTGCTCACTCTCGCTCACTCTCTCAAATAAAAATCTTTAAAAAATTAAAAAAAAAAAAACCCTGCAAGGATAATCCCACCCCATTGTATTCTTTATCCCCTATCTCTGCTCTGTATTTCTCTACACCTTTTATCACCAGCAACTACTATACATTTGACTTTCTGGAACATGTGCTGGAAAAGGCTACGAATTTTTGTTTCATTCACTGCGCTATCTCTGCTGTTAAAAGCAGTGCCTGGTATACAGCAGTGATCAATAAGCTATCTGTTAAACAAATGCTTTCATTTCCACCAGGGGGCCTAACAATCATCTAGCCTGGGATTTCAGGAAGAGATCATAAAGCTTCTCGAATTTTTTCAGTGCTCTGATCCCTAGAAGGCTTTATACTTTGCCTAGAAAGAAAAACTGTGTTTTCTCTAGTCAGCCACAAGGAGGAGTTGAGAGGAAGAGCTGAGCAAAGAGAAAACAGATGTTTCCCTTGCTTTTCCTAGGCAACCCGGAGGTGGAAGAAAAGTGGATGTAGAGGCGCCGGTACTGAATGAAAGGTTTTCTGCACACTGTGAGTTACCTAGACACGCACAAACGTAAACACGCAAAGCCGCGATCCTTTCGAACGCCACAAAGAGGCCAAGAAAAATCAATCCATCCACCGGGCACTGAGAACCGGGAGGGTGTTTAAGTCCACCGCTAAGAATTCCCCATAAACGCAGCGGAGAGTTACCACTAGCGCAGAGGCACGTAACTCGCACACGAAGGCCAACGTGTTCCAGGCTGCCGGGACTCTCCGGCCAGAGAACTATTAAATCAATTCTATTTCCTATTCAAGGCACCTCTAATTCTGAAAATGGCTCGAGTACCGCGGTCCCAGGTCTGAGTTCTCAGATTCGCCGACTGCAGGTCAAGTCCTGATTCATTCAGCCCCGAAATCCCCATTTCCCAAGGGACCCGACTTACCGCCACCTGTTGATGCCCACATTGGAGGAGCCGGCGAACCAGGGGTCGAGGATGTAGACGCAGCGGATGGTGTTGGCGCCCTGAATGCACTCCTTCAGGGCGGGGTTGTCGTGAAGCCGGAGCCCCTTTCGGAACCAGTGCACGGCGTTCACCCCCATCCCGGGGGCGCGGCGGCGGCGGGCGTGTCCTCGCCCAGTTCCCCCACCGAGAAACTCAAGGAAGGAAGGGCCGGCTCATACCCTACACCTCTGCTTCCAGGGCAGCCGCCACACCCAAGAAGAGGGGAGAGGGCGGCGGACGGGGAAAAAAGGAAAAAATGAATCCGAGGAGGGGGTCGGAGGAGGAGAGGGCGCGGGACTCGCAGCTGGGAGATGAATGGAGGCTGCCGTCAGCGGAGTCCGGGTGTGACGCCCTTTAGGAGCCGGCGCCCGCAGCAACCGCCGGCACGAGGCGCATCGCTTCGAGGGCCTCGGAGCCCGGGGAGTGAGTACGTTCCACGAGCCCGAGCCTCCACGACGGCCCCGACCGGCCCCGGCAGCCCCAGGAGGTTCGTCACGGAAACCTCGCCCCACCGAGGCAGCCCCGGAGGCGAAAACGGCCCGCCTGAGGCGAGCCACCGAGAGGGATGAGAGGGGATCCAGCCACAGTCGGCCACGCTGTCTCTCGGGCCGGGGAAGAGCAGTGAGCACGGAGGCGGTGGTCGAGGCCGCTGGACGGTTGCCGGCCGGTGACCGGTCCCGAGGCTGCCCGGGTGACTCCACTGCCACCGCCGCGTCAGCGGCCTCGGCCCCGCCCCCGGATCCTCATTGGAGCGCGCGCTCCCCACGTGACCCCCGGCACCTCACGTTTCTGAAGTGTGTTTACTACAGCGGCTCTGACTGAGGAATCGGCTCGTGATTCAGTCGCTCCTAGGGCGCGGCAGCTGCTTGGTCTCAAAGCCGTCGACCTTCACTGAGACTCTAAACTCCCTTCCTCTGCCCTTTTTCTCCTCCGACTGGTCGCCTACAAGCTCGCCCGGCGACCGCAGGCCCCATGTGAGGGAAGCCTTAGCCCCGCCTCTGGAGGCCGTGAGCATCCCCTATTGGCTGAGGCTCTCTGAGACCCGGATGAGCACGGGGCTGCAGGGAGCTCGCGGGCGCGCGCTCGGCTGAGATGGCGCGCGTGCGCTCTCGCTGCGTTCCAGAGGGAAGGAGGGCGCGGCCGGCGGTCCGGAGCGCGCGGCCCGGGATCTGGAGCGCGCTCTGGGATTCCTCCTGTGGCGTTCCGGGAAGGCCTGGATACAGCCGGGTGCCATCCAGTAATCGGCGAGGGAGTTCGACGGGGAATGAGCGCGGGATGGGGTGAAAGGAGAGAAGAAAGCTCGTTAGACTTCAAGCCCAGCCTTGTGCTTAAGTACAGCTTTAGCTAAAGAGCCCGACTTTGCAGTGTGTGGAGCTGGCGCCCCACCCCCACCCCGCGCCATTCTTCCGGCCCTCTTGGTGTGGTTCCCTCCGACGCGTTCTGGGGAGTAGGGATAATGGGCATGGCAGGTGCCAGGCACCTGGAATACCTTAATTCTATCTATGTATCTTCAACCTGTCAGCCGTGATTTCTCATCCTTCGTGTGGTAGAGCGACAGTGAGCATCAGGCCAGGTCATTCCTATCGACATGTGATGCCCTTTTATTGATTAAGCGATTACCGAATGAGCCAGGCACTGCTCAAAGTGCCCGAGGCACAGGAGAGAAATAGGCAAAAATCTCAGCCCCGGTGGAATTTACGATACATCTCTTAACCTTCAAACGTGCTATTTTTTCCTTTATAAAATGTTCTTCTTTGGAATGTGCTATTCACCATAGCAACCTTTCAGCTACCTAGTATATTTCTACACATCCTTTTAGACTCAGATGAACGTGCTACCTAATTTGTGAAAATACCCCTGTCATCCAGAGCAGATTTAGGACGTACACCCCTCTCTCCAGGTGTGTCTCTGAAACATTAACATACTGTGGTGAAGATTAAATGAAAAGTACCTACTTTGATTCCTAGCGTGAAGTGGGTGTTCAATAATAGTGTTTATTATCATAATAACGTGTCTCCGATTTCCTCTCAAGGACAGGGTGGCTATCTTGTTTTCTGAATCATCAATACCCAGTTTAGAGCCCGATGCATATGCATTGCAATGTTCATTGAATGAGTGAATGAATGAATGAATGAATGCTCTCTGCCACCAAGGTTAAAAGGAGGGAAGTTATGGCAATTATTACGGGTTGAGTTGTGTCCTTCTAAAATTCATATAACCAAAAAATAAATAAATAAATAAATAAATAAATAAATAAAATTCATATAACCCTGAGTACCTGTGAATGTGCCCTTACTTGGAAATAAGGTCTTTGCAGATGATCGAGTTAAGATGATGTCATTAGGGTGGGCCCTAATCCAATATGACTAGTGTACTTACAAATTTAGAAATTTGGACACAGAGACAGACTCACAGACAAAGGGAATGCCATGTGAAGATTGGAGTCATGCTACCATAAGCCAAGAACAATTCAAAGCTAGGAGAGTGACCTGGAACAGATCCTTCCCTAGCACCTTCAGAGGGGGCATGACCCTCCCAACACTTTGATTTCAGATTTCCAGCCTCCAGAATGATGAGACAATAAATTCCTGTTGTTCTAAGCCACTCATTTTGTGGAACTTTGTTATAGCAGCTCTAGCAAACTAATACAACAATACTGTAAATTCAATCATCTAGTCAGCCAATATCTGGATAGTCTTCTCTAACCCTGCCTGCTTCTATTGTCATAAAAAAGGCATAGCATCCCTTCTTTGATTTCTTAAGAGCATTTAAAGTTATATATATATGAAAACCCTTTGTTCACTATAAAGTATTAAATATTTGTTATTTTTATCAGTGGAGATGAGCTTTGAGTGATTACTACTCTGAAGGATCCATTCTCTATGCATAGGATGTGCACGCAGAGCTGTGCCCTCACTTGGATTGCCTTGCTCTCCAGGGTCTATTGTACTTTTTAAAATACAGTGTTTCGTGTTTCATTTTAGGCAGTTTTAAAGTAAGTAGATTATGCCTAAAGACATAAGAATTGTTTTCAAGCAATCAGATGAAATTAAAATGGAGAGAGAATACTGATTTGTGTAGAGTGGACTTAAGTTTGCCAATTTTTCATTTAATAAAGATGGATTTTTTGTTTCCTAACAGGCAGCTGTATGTGGGTGTGTTTGTAACTTTCATTTACACAGAAAAGTACTGATTTATTATAAAAATGTCAGTACTGTCAACTGTGCATTCCTCAAAGACTAAGGGTTTTTATAGCACACAGGTGGTTACTTTAATGTATCTATTACAGGGAAAAAGTAACCATTTTATAACTGCTGTGATTTATTGAGCACCTACTATGTGCTACGCACGTTGGGTTATTATTAGCCCTCATAATAATCTTCTGAGGCAACTTATTATTTATTAATTTATGCCTGTGTAAGGGCCCATTCAGCCAGAGCAGCCCCACCCCGGTTGAACTGCCATCTTGCTGGAAAGCTTAAATTGACCTTGCCTGCCCCCCCCCAGGGGAACTTATTTAAAAGCAAGTCCGGGAAACCAGTCCCAGGTAACAAAGTCCAAATACAAGGGTGGGTCAGGCCAGGCGGAGGTATTCAATCAGTGGGGGCGCATACTGTCTCCTAGCTACCAAGGAGTATGGGTCCCTGCCCTTTGGGAGCCTTTTGGCGTCAATCCTAACCAAGGTGTGATAGGCTAAATCAAATGTCTACTAGGGTAAAATGCAATTCAGTTGGTCGCCTAGCATCACTGTGGAGTTTCCTGTGTGTGTTACAATCTCATTGGCCACCTATGTGTGGCCAGGCCCAATGACATGGCCTTTGCTTTATAAAAGTTAGTCTGGAAAGCAGGGAGGGGTCGTCCTCTCTGGAGGGGCGGCCCCGACTGGTCTGTTTGACCGTCGGTAGGTTTGATTCCTGATGCTTGGCGCGAAATAAAGCTTTGCTTGACCTTTGCTTTGTATCAGTCTCGCTCCTTTAATCACGGACCCATTATTGGGGTACCCAATTTTGGGGGACCCAACACCTGCTTTCCTGATGAAGACACTAAAGCTCAGAAATACAAACAACTAGTTAAACAAGATGAAAAACCAAGACTGTTTCTGAATCCAAACTCCTTGTTTATGTATATTATCCCTCATTGATATCAGCACTCCCCTTCTTTTTCAGAGTGAGTATTTACGTTTAAAGGGGTAGAGCATTGTCAGAAATGTGTGAAGTTCTGGTTGGCTCCAATATCATGGGGTAGAAAGAGTATGGGATTAAGAAGAAGAGACTAGATAATTATCTCAGCTAGCCAGTAATTAGTTGGTGATCTCAAACTAGTCACTTATGCTTTCTTAGCCTGATTAATTCATCTATAAAACCAGCGGATTGGACAGATGATTTCTAAGCTTTTTCTACTATGTAAAAATGCTAGACCTCTATGAGCACAACCCTGACACAGGCTCAAAAACACCTACCAAGAGTCCTGTTGGACATTTTAACCACCAACAATGTTGGATCAATACCCCTTCCATTTCATGAGCACCCTTGATAAAAGCGTGTAAGCCTCTAAAGTGAAGACCTGTAGTCTCTCATGACCCCATCTGGCAGAGGTGATCTGGGGATATGTTACCAAAACACAAATAATGAAGGAGTAGAGTATATGTTCAGCTCATTCAGTTACAACCACACCTCTTCAATGAGGTCTGAATCCCACCCTTGGAAAAAACCCTTAACACTCCTCCAAATTTGTCCTTCTTTAGGTACTCTCCCTCAGGCCTGGGGTATTCATCATGGTCCCCTCCCTGCCCCATTATCATTAATTATAAATTCCCAGTGATAATTAATAATTCTTTTTATGAAACATTCCTTGTTGGCTTTACTGTGTGGTTTTTGTCTCCTCATTGGACACTGACTGATACAATCTGTTGACCAATTGAGTCCACACACAGATGTACCTGTGAACAGTTTTCTTGGTTGGTCTTACCCCCTTTTTGTTGCCCAAATGCATTTAGAAAGTGTAAATAGTTACAAATGTGGCAACATGATATTGTGAAATATTAGCCAACATTTCTACGCCACAGATCTTTTTTTGTCCTGTGATCATCCCCATTCCGATCATTGGATGTGAGTCCTCTGTTGCCTCAGAGGGGCAGAAGTTGAGGACAAAGGTAGTCCAGTGTTTTTGTTCTAAATTCAAGGGCTTAGATAAAGATGTAAATCAGGAAGAATTTGTTGTTCCCCTCCTCTCTCTCCAACACTATACAAAAATTCTTTAGGCTGAAATGGGCTATGTATATAAGGAAAATAAGGAATATATATATATATATATATATATATATATATATATATATCTCCTTATATATAAAATATATAAGGAAAATAATGCACTGATCTTTCTGAAAGAAGAAGATAGTATTTCACCTATCCTTGTCTAGGATTAGCTCCAGATTCCTAGATGAGCTTAGGGTGTTCTGAGAGTAGAAGACATTTATGCCAATTTCCCATCTGAAATCTGGAGGCTGACCCTCATGGAGTCCCTGTATCATTTTACTGGGGCCCAGCACAAAAGCCTATGAAGGATGCCACTGGTCAGAGAGGGCCTGGAGAGCCCTGCCAAGCCTCCTAACTGGCTAAGAGAACAGCTAGATTTTTCTACATGTTCCTTCTTCCTCAGAGGACTGCAAAGGTTAGCTGAAATAGAAAACCATCTAAGGGGTTTTGACAGAGGGGACAGTATTACACAAAATGTCATGAAAAGTTATAACCGGGGGCACCTGGGTGGCTCAGTCAGTTAAGCATCTGCCTGCAGCT